AGGAGGAGGAGGAGGAGGAGGGGGAAGGAGGAGGAGGAGGAAAAGGAGGAGGAGGAGGAAAAGGAGGAGGAGGAGGAGGAGGAGGAGAAGGAGGAGGAGGAGGAGGAGGGGGAGAACATGCGGGGGGGGAAACCCCGATGAAAGCCACAGACTGCATCGCACTCCCGCCCCGCCTGCCCACACAGGCGCCGAGCGAGACTCCGAGTGGGCAGAGGTCGCCACGCCCCTGGCCGCCATGCACGGCCCACGCTGACGCCGGGCGCGCCCAGCGCGGACCGAGCGCGCACGCATGTGCAACCGCGAGCAATACCAAGATCCCTGGGCGAATCGTGGGTTTCCGAGAGCGGCCCCTCGCAAGCACCCAGGCGCATGTCTTTGATATATAGCACCCCGCAGTTGCGGGTAAGAGTGAGGGGGCGGCGGGGACGTCTTCAGTCTGCGAGGCTTTGAAGAAGCCCGCCGCAGGCGCACACATTCTCAAGCTATACGACGAGCCCGCCGCAGGCGATATTTTTGTCAAAGCAATGTAGGTGGGTCGCGGGTTGGATCGCAAGTGGGTCGAGGGTGGGTCGACGATGGTTCGCCGGAGGGTCGCGGGCCAGATCGCGGTTGGGTCGCGGGTGGGTTGCGGGTGGGTCGCGAAAGGGTCGCGGGGTGGGTCGCGGGTGGGTCGCGGTTGGGTCGCGGGGTGGGTCGCGAGTGCATCGCGAGGTGGGTCGCGGGTGGGTCGCGGGCTGGGTCGCGGGGGGGACGAAGACGACGACGACGACGACGACGACGACGACGACGACGACGACAACAACAAGCAGAATCCTCACCACGAATCCGCACTTCAGCCACGCACCCAGGGACAATGAATGACCGTTCGGACCCCTCACTCTGATGTTTGTGTCGTGTTTTCGTGAGTACGAATTGTACGATGCGCGATCTGAAAACTGGAGCGGTGTACATTGGAGGAGGAGGAGGACGAGGTGGTGGTGGTGGAGGGTGAGCAGGAAGATAAAATGATTAGGAAGGAGAGGGAAACGAGGAACAGCAGCAGCAGGAAGAAGAGTGGGATCAGCGGAGGGAGCAGGAGGACCAGGGGAAGGCGGAGGAGGGGAGAGGAGAGGAGCGGGGCGACAACGGCGAGGGAGCACTCGGATACAGAGATGCTACCCGCGCTGGGGAATAGCGCCGCTCTGAACGACGGACGCAAGCGTCGATTGTAAAATGAGGACACCGCTGAAGCGGGAACACCAGTGGAAACACCAGAGGTCACGCCACAATTGAACCGAGAGATCAACCAATAGATGCGAAAGCCTCGGTGTTCAAGAAGTGCTGCCAAGGCTCGTAATTCGCCCACCCCCGCTTGCCAGCGGTGAAAAGGCGTGCGAGACACTTGGCTGCCGCCTCCCCCGTTCCCCCTGCCGAGGGGTCCAACACCCTCTTTCGTGGGCGGGGGTACGAGCTCGTCAGCGCACCCCGGGGCCTTTCCCGAGCCTCCAGAGGGCCGCCAAACGGCCCAAGAGTACCCGAGCAGAGCGACGAGACAGTCCAAGAAGGCGTCGAGACGGCCCAGAGTAACCCCGCAGCGGTCCCAGAGGGCTTTTCAGGACAGCACACGAGGCGCCGAGGGCGGTCCAGGAGTGCTCACCGAGGACCGCCGAGAGGGTCGCAAGACCCCAAAATCGTCCCATTCCCAAAAAAGGGAGACGTACCTTTTTCGACATACCCGCCCTTCGCGTCCTGACAGCGCCCAATATGGCCCAAGGAGCCCCCAAGATCGTCCCAAGACGATCTACGAGGCCCTTCGGAGGGCCCGCCCGCAAGAGGCCCCCTAAGAGGCTCCAAAAAGCCAACTGGATGCTTCCAAAAACCCTCTAAGGGGCTCCTCAAATGACTACCTACCAGACCACCCCAACCCAACCCGAAGACCCGAACTTCGGGTTGGGGGGGTAAGGGTTCCACGCGTGTTTTTTCTATGTTTCCCGACCCCCCCCCCACTGGAAATCGAGGGTAAATCTGAGCCTTCGGGTTGGGTTGGGTTGGCTTGGTGGGTGGTGATCAAAGACTTTCTGAGAAACCTCAGTCTCCCCTAGAGGCTCCTCCACAAGCTGCCCAGCTTGCCCCACGAGCCCCACAAGAACCGGCAGCAGGCTCCCCAAGGGCCTCCGCCGGAGGCCGCCTGGAAGCCCAGACGCAGCCCAGTGACAAACGCCAGCAGCCCCTCGCACCCTCTAAATGTCCCTTCGTTCCTCCCTCCGCCCTTCGCCTCCCCACCTCCGCCCCTCCTTCCCCTCCCCCCTCATGCCCCTCCGCCTCCTCCTCCTCCTCCTCCTCTTCCTCCTCCTCCTCCTCCTCCTCCTCCTCCTCCTCCTCCTCCTCCTTCTCTTCCACCCTCGTGGGTGTGGAAAATAGCACCCAGCCGCTCCAGTTTCGTTATCGCTCCCCAAACGCACTGGACGTCTCTATTCTGCGGGGGTGGGCGGAGTGGCGCAAGCCACTGGCATTGTATTCAATAATGATAAACGGCGAGGGCGTGATAACTGGATCCAGGACGAAGTCGGCGGAGAGAGGAGAGTAATGCTCATATCCGAGTATGACGTGCATGGGTGGGTGACGCGGATGATTGTTTACACCAGGGTCCCGAAGGCCATCCAAGGGGACGCATTGCGGGGACGCTCTAGCCACATCGCCAACCTCTGGATCTGGAGAGCGGCCCAAACAGTTCCCGCACCATGGTTGCTGCTCCACCGCCTGCGCCACATTATGACTCGCCCGCGCACTGGGCCGCCGTGCGACGAGCACGGACTTGAGTCCACACCATACTCCCGTGGATTGTTATGAGGGCCTCACAGACGCGCGTGTCCCCTCCCCTACCCAAAATGTATACGACGCGCTCGGCTGCCACAAAATTCGTGCTCCCCGTATACACCGAGCCCTCCCGCGGGCACCATCCATTATGAACCCCCCCTCAGACGCGCTCAAGTCCCGCAATCCGTACACACCAAGATTTTTTCTGACTTTGCCATATACACCAAGTCTATGTCTGAGGTTACGCCAGAAGCGATCTTGGACTTCGAGCGCCATGTTCGGGCCTGAGGCAGGAGGGGAGAGTAGTACTCAGTCACACGTGTGCCGCCGTCCCCAGTAGACGCAATCAAAAGATGCGTGACGAGCTGGAATTTCACGCGGGAGTTGAAGCACCGTCGCCTCGGAAGCCTCCGAAGCTTCAATGCCGTCTCGAGATCGGAGGCCTGGAAATTGGCACCAGCATCAACGCAGGGGGTTGCCTCCACAGGGGGGAAGACGAGCCCAGATGCCGGTGGTGGTGGTAACATTTCGGCCACCTTGGAGGCCAAAACGTTGCCACCATCACCAAGACTGGGATCTCCCTCCCTCGGTGGAGGCACGCCGCCGATGCTGTTGGCGGTGGTGCCAACCTCCAGGCCTGCGAGTCTCGAGGACCCCGATGCCGCACTTCTCGGAGCTCACCCCTCTGGGGGGGGACCCTCGCGGGGCCCCCGGGGGCCGTCCACGGAGGGAGCCGAGAGGAAGGGCCTGCCCCGGGGGGGAGACGCCCAGACTTCGGGCGGCCCGCATGGAGGAACTCAAGACGGAAGGGGCCCTGGGACACGCAAGCAAGTGCACACGAACAACAGGACTCCCTGCATTTTCCCACATGTTCTGGGTTTTCGTCTTCCCCCCCACGTCCCATATTGTCCCACATGTCCTGGGGAATCGACGATTAATTGTGCCTGTGTGTTTTCCCTCCTGAGAAGACGTCGAATGTCTAGAGGATAGAAGAAGAGAACACTGGATTCACATAAACCTTGAGAGGTCGGCGCGGATCTCTTGGCTCGGCGCTGGACAGCGCGCCGAGGGCGGCGCTGGAGGCGCCACGGGGGGGGGGCCGCGAAGACTCAAGAAATACGCGCGGAGCTGCGAAAAATTGTTAGATAATCAAAGGCCACCGTCGCAATGAGCAAGCCGATGAGTAAACGCACCAAAGGAAGGAATCGAACAGGGCAGGGCTGTGTAGCACGCAACCAGGGCTGCTGAGTAAACGCCAACTGTAGACGCCAATTGTGGGGGTCGGGGTGGTTTCCCCTCGCTTGCCATGTGCTTATACGGTGGGGGCACGACCACAAGAAACCTTTCACAGGAAGCCCAACCCTGAGGCCCCAAGGAGTCCATCGATTTTTGGCGTGGGAGCGTCACGCCTTCCATGGCAAAGCCATCGGAGCCCAAGAAATCCAGGTCACCCTGGAGGCAAGCAGGGTGTTTCTTGGCATGGGCCCCCATTGCACCCTGGCGAAGAACCCGACCCCTTCTGCGTGGGTGGAAACTATTAATTAACAGGACCGCTCGATGAACAATAGTTCGTTGGGATGGGAAGGGCGTGCCCAAGTGGACCCGAGTACCCATGCGGACACTGCCACGGGAGCCTTCGGTGGAGCTCCCTATGGGGCCACGAAACGTGTGAGGGGTGCGCCGAAGTGGACCCGAGTACGCATGCGGACCCTGCCACGGGAGCCTTCGGTGGTGAACCAAGAAACGTGTGAGAAGCGTGCCGAATCTATGATGGTAATGACGATGGTGGTGGTGGTGATGATGATAATAATGATGATGATGCTGCTGCTGCTGCTGCTGCTGATGATGATGATGATGATGATGATGATGATGATGATGATGATGATGATGATGATGATGATGATGATGATGATGATGATGATGGTGGTTGTGATGGGAAGTGGGACAGGGAGGATGAGGAGGAAGCGAAGGGAGGAGCGAGAAGGCAGAGGCGAGGGGGAGGAGGAGAACGAGAGCGACGCGGGGCGCCGCGAAGTCAAAACGACGGCCCAACACACAGGAGGGCTGGGAAAGGAACGGGGACCCGCTTGCCTCAGGATATCTGCTGTCCCGGGCGGCGACGAGCTCTCCGACCGCCCGCGATGCCGGCCCGCGGGGGGGGCCTGGATCCTGGTCGCGGCGCGGTGCTGCTCCTCCAGGCTCCCGCGGAAGGCGAACGCCTCTCTCGGCGGGGGGGGGGAGGGGACGGGGCGGCGCCCCCGCGGCACGCCAGCGCGGCCGGGCCGGGGCGCGGCTCGAGCCCGGGGGCGGCCGAGGCCGAGGAGGGGGCCAGAGCTCCCCTGCCTCCGAGGCTCCCCGTCCTCCTCCTCCTCGTCCTCCTGCTCCTCCTCCTCCTCCTCGTCCTCGTCCTCCTCCTCCTCCTCCTCCTCCTCCTCCTCCTCCTCCTCCTCCTCCTCCGCGAAGTCGCAGTATCGAGCCGCGCTCAGCGATCGGGGGACCCCGATGGGCCTGCACAGCGGGCGCCTTGCCGCCGTCGCCTTCCTCGCCGGCCAGCTCCGGCGCGGGGCCCTGAGCGGGCCGGGCGCGCCCGGCGAGGAGGATCCCACTGGCGAGGAGGATCTCTTGGCGAAGAGGGCTGCTTGGCGAGGAGGAGGTGCTGACGGCGGGGACTCTTTCGGAGGAGGGTGAGTTGAGACACTGGCAACCAGCCTCGAACATATCCCCATCCCTAAGATGGGCGAGCAAAAAGCGGGGACAATCTTAGGGATAGGCCCTCAGAAACTGAGGGAATCCTTAAGATCGGCATCGAGGTGAGGTGATGTCAAACACAGGGATAGGGATAGGGATATGCTTCAAACTGGCAAACTGGAAACTCACCATCGGTTCGAGATCGGTCCCCAGACCCATCCCGAGGCCCAGACGCACCAGATCCCCGAGCTGCGTCAGGCCGTGGCGACGAGGCACCGCCCCCCCGACCCGAAGACCAACCCGCGTCTGAAGCTGCCCTCCGCGGACTCGTGGCGGGGATCCCTTGGGCCTGGGGGGCCCCTCGTGGCCGGCTCCTGGCGGGCCCTCGGGGCGGGCTCGGTACCCTCCGGGGGCCTCTGCCCCGCCTTCTCGCCCAGCTGGGCGGCGAGCCAAGGGGGGGGAGGCGAGGAGGGGGCGTGCCTTCTCGGAAGTCGCGGAAGCTCCCCGGGACTTCTGAGAAGTCTCTGAGCCTTCCCCGAGGACTGGAAAGGCTTCGCAGACGGCGCGAGGGCTTCTGAGAGGTCTCGCCGCCTTCTGAGAAGGCCTTCTCCTTCTCAATTCCCCCCTTCGCTCGCCGCCGACCAACTCGGAGGAGGAGGAGGAGGCGGAGCAGGAGGAGGAGGAGGAGGAGGAGGAGGAGGAGGAGGAGGAGGAGGAGGAGAGGAGGAGGAGGAGAAGGGGAGGGGAGGGAGGGATGGAGGGAGGGAGGGAGGAGGGAGGGAGGGAGGGGGGGAGGGCGGAGGGGGAGGGAGGGAGGGAGGGAGAGAGGGAGGGATGGAGGGAGGGAGGGAGCGAGGGAGGGAGGGAGGAGGAAAAGGAGGAGGAGGAGGTGGAGCGTGGCCGAGAAAGGAGGAGGAGGAGGAAGAGGAGGAGGAGGGAGGAGGAGGAGGACGAAGAGGAAGAGGAGGAGGAGGAGGAAGAGGATCGATCGATCGATCGAGCCGTGGGGACGGGGTCGCTGCCTCATGTCAGTGGGCTGCTTTATAGAAACTTACTTTCATGTCGTCCTAGCTGGGTTCGCTTCGTTCGCTGGGCGAGCTGGCGCCATTCAGCGCTCGGGCCCTACCCGCACCTGGAGCCCCACGCAGAGGCAGAGGGCAGGGTAGCACCCGCACCTTGCGGATAGCCTACCTCGCCTGTTGCCCCTGGTTTTTACCTTGGGCTCGTCCTCCCTTGCCTCGACCTGTTCTTTTGGGTTCTGGCGGGGGGGGGGGCGGTAGGAGGAGGAGGAGAAGAAGGATGAGGAGGAGCGAAGAGGGAGGAGGGATGACGGAGGAGGAGGGGAGAGGAAGGATGGGGAGAGAGGGCGGGAAGGAGGGAGGGAGGAAGGGACGGAGGGAGGGATGGAAGGAGGAGGAGGAGGTTGGAGAGGAAGACGGAGGAGGTGGGAGGGGAAACGATGGAGGAGGTGGAACATGAGGAAAAGGAGGAGGAGAACCAGCAGCAGGAGTGCGAGGAAGAGAACACTGACCCAAGATTTTGGACGCTCGGGTTTCTCGAAGCCAGCCCTGGGCCTGTGGGAACCTCCAGATGCCTGCGGGGCCTCCAGCGGTCTGCTGGAACCTTTGGAATCCCCCGAGGATCTCTGGAGACTTGGTAATGGAAAAGAAACGAGTGGAACGCATGTGTCCGACCAGGAACGCAAAAAAAACATGGAGTTCATCAATTCGTGAGCCCAGTGCCCGATTTGCTTCGATCAACTGATTCGCGTGCTCCATCGCCAGGCTGACGAGCTGTATTCCGTCTGGGTGCGCGCCCTGACTCCAAAGCCTCCCATGATGCGGACGAGCAGGAAGAGGAAACCGAAAATAATACACAGACAATGAGAACTGGAAGGTTGGACACGGGAGCGGCCAATGGGGAAAATGAAAGAAAAATCAAGAAGATGGAAGGAGACATGATAGGCAGCCCAAGTACCCCTCCCGCCCACCACTTGACGTTGCGTTGAACTTGTTTCTGTTCGACGAACCAAGCGTCGAATCGGACCTTGACCGTAAATCGCATCAGCAATCCTTGACACGACGGGAAGACAGTGAACACATCCAACAGCGCAGCGCGCCAACAAAAGCAAAAAAAACAAAAAGATACTGAGGCATCGAAGATGCGCCGGCGCAGAGACAGAGAGATGGAGAGAAAACGAAACATAAACATGAATAGAGAGAAACACCGAGAAAGCAGCAGCAGGAGAGGCAAGCATCGAGAAGGACGCGTGAGCAGAAGAGTGCGCAACTGGCAACTCCTCGGGAATTACGAACGTGGACGCCCACGAAGAAAATCCGCCGATCTGGCGAGCGAGTTTAAAAAAAGCGTGAGCTTGAGTTTCGCTTGAGTTCCGCTCTGCAAGGGGGGGGGGGTAGCGCGTTCGCCCCCCCCCCAGCCTCGGCTCTGCCGCGGGGCCGGGCTGTCAGCGCTTTCGCCTCCCCGCCTCCGTTCTGCGAGGGGGGGGTCTCGATGCTTCCGCCCCCGCCCCCGCTCTATAGAGGGGGGTGTGGCCCAACCGACGGCTACGCATCCAGCGCGGTGCTGCACCCGTATATATGTTCGCCCCTTGGCGTGGGGCTGGCGGGGGCCAAGGGGCGAGCTGTCCGGTGATTTGAAGTGGGCAAAACGGGAGAGCGAAGCGCATAGTTGAACTCCTTATGGAGCGCAACGCGCTTTTTTCTAAGTGAGAAGATTATTCGGCTAAAGTTAGCGAAGTTAGGTTTTAGAGCGGTAGAGTGGTTGAAGACTGTTTTCTAAAAACCATGGTAAACAACTGAAAAGTAAACTTCCACAACTTTCACTAAGTACCGCAAGAGCAACAAAACTTCCATAAATAAGATCTGACGATCAGAGCTGGAATTGGAACCAAAGCCAAAAATTGAACCGGAACAAACCCAACTTCAATTCCAATTCACCGACCTCACGCCCGGCCGGACACCCGGAACCCGAACTGGAACGCACCCCCCCCTCCTGGCTGGAGGCTGGAACCGGAACCGGAACAACTCCAACTCCAAATTCCAAATCGAGATCCAAATCGAGATCCAACTGGTCACCGACCTCACGCCTGGCTGGAAACCAGGAACCGGCATCGGAACCAGAACACCCCCCCTCCTCCCGGCTGCAAGCGAACAAGAACTGGAACCGAAACCGAGACCGAAAAAGTTCCAGTTCCACTTCTGATGCACACAAGTTCCATGCTCCCTGTCAACAAATACTTGAGGCCGTAACGCAAATTCCGGGCGGCACGTTCTACGGGGTGCTGGTCGGGTGTGGCCCACACAGTATCCCCATTGCGGTTATCGTCGCGTTCCTGATCAAGGCCGCAGCGGTGTCTCTGTCCAGCGCACTGTTAAGCTTAGCGCGCAGCACTGTAGTCGTATCGCCTTTGGAGAGAACCGGAAAACGATGACAATGAATATTGCAACCATGCGGATGCTGCGTTCGAAAAGCTGAAGCCGTCCACATTGCTATCTTACGTTATCTCCCGTTTCCCATGCAAGGTTTGGACGTGCCCCCCTGGGGGCATATAGTACTGGCGCAACTGTATCCACGGATGTTTCGGAGGGCCTCGCTGAGGCTGAACGTGAAGCGTAGCTCGAATCCAGTAAACCGATCCTTTTGGTCAAGTCCTCCATCGAGTGCTTCAGCGGGATCATGGCCGTCTGAAGGTCGAGACACCATGATGTGTAATGATGGTGATCTTTATACATATATACGTATGTCCGGATCGGGCCAATTGCTCATCAAAATCTTCCAGAACATGTCTGTCGTAAGTGCTTGGGCATGGGCAGGGCGATTACCACAACCAAATGACGTAGGTGGAGGGGCTTTGGAGAGTCCCACTTGTTCCGGCGGATTGTTCCCAAGAGTGTCGTCGCCATCTGTATCGTGAAGCGGTCTGTGGATCCTGTGCTGCTTCGCTCTCCCTGTATGCGGTGTCAAGGGGAGAGTCCTTGAGTAACTGCCCGACCCGTGGTGCCTGGCATAGGAACGTCGCCCGAAGAAAACATAGATGTGTCATCGAACGTAGGGAAGCCAGAAGAGGGTATGATAGTGGCGACTTGGGCATGATGATATGGGACAAAAACTACCTATGTGCATTGGCCTTGAGCGCCCGATATGCCCTGAGCTAAAATGGCGTGAGCAAACATTGCCTTGAGAGAAAGAGGGAGCAAAAATAAAGATAAAACAGCAAAACAGTGGGAGCGAGCAAGAGGAGTGAGAAAGAGAGAGAGAGAGAGAGACTGAGAGAGATCAAAGCAAGAAAGAACGCAGGAGGAAGAGGGGGGGGAGGGGGGGCAGGGGAGTGGGACTGGAAGGCGACGGGGAGGAACTGGGAGGCACAGAGGGGGGAGGGGAAGACCTTGAAGGTTGGAGGGTAGAGAAGGGAGATCCTCCTTCCCCTCCCTCCTCCTTCCCCTCCGTCCTCCTCCTCCTCCTCCTCCTCCTCCTCCTCCTCCTCCCCCTCCTCCTCCTCCTCCCCCTCCTCCTCCTCCTCCTCCTCCTCCTCCTCCTCCTTCCTCCCCCTACCCTCCTCCTCCTCCTCCTCCTCCTCCTCCTCCTCCTCCTCCTCCTCCTCCTCCTCCTCTCCTCCTCCTCCTCCTCCTCCTCCCCCCTCCCGGCTGGCAAGAATAGGTCGTGCCCAGCGGGCTCCTCCGACTCGACCACCGCCTCGCAGCGGATCGCGCGGCGCTCGCCGTGCCGCCGCCCGCCGGCTGCCCGGGGCACCACATCCTCTCCTCCCCTCTCCTCCCCCCCTTCCCCTCGCCCCCTCTCCACTTCCTTTTCCCCTCCTCCCCCCTTTCCCCTTGCCCCCCTCTTTCCTCCCCGCCTCCCCCCCTCCCCTCACCCACCTTCCCCCCAAACCCCCTTCCTTTGCCCTTTATCACCCCCGCATCCTAGCATTCCTCGCCTCCCGTCCTCCGAGCCTCCGCTCTGTTCCCCGCCTGCTCTTGCCTCACTCTTGGCGACCCGCCCGACCCCAGTCAAAACCTTGACAGCATTTCCTTGAGCGTCCTTGCAAGCTCAAACGTAAGGGCAACACGTATCCTGCCTCATCCATCCTGCCTCCCTCATTCTGTCTACGTGTCCCTCCCTCACTCCTCCATCCATGCACACACATCTCATTTCTCCTCTGGCTCATCCTCCTCCTTGCCCCTTTCCCCAAACTCCTTCCCTCCCCTTCCGCGGCCGCCCACGCCTTCCAGATCTCCATTTTCCCTCCTCCACACAATAAACTTCAACCAAAATCATCCCCCTCATCATTGTACCTCTCAGCATTCGCACTTCCGTATCATCATGATATTTCTCCTCCTCTTCATTCTGAGATGGCATCATCGTCATCACCATCACCATCACCATCACCAACACCAGCATCAGCATCATCATCACCATCATCATCATCATCATCAGCATCATCATCAGAAGCAGCAGCAGCAGCAACAGCATCAGCATCATCATCAGCATCATCATCATCACCATCATCATCGTCATCATCATCATCACCATCACCATCACCATCACCAACACCAGCACCATCACCATCATCATCATCGTCATCATCACCATCACCATCACCATCACCATCACCATCATCATCATCATCATCATCATCATCATCATCATCATCATCATCATCATCATCATCATCATCATCATCACCATCACCATACCATCACCATCATCATCATCAGCAGCATCATCATCATCGTCATCATCGTCATCATCATCATCATCATCAGCATCATTGCCATTGCCATCGCCATCGCCATCATCATCATCAGAAGCAGCAACGGCAACTGCATCCCCATCATCATGCGCAGCGACGCATCATCGTCGGCGGCAACCGCATCGTCGCCATCATCGGCAATATCGCCGTGTTTCTGATGGCCACGATGCTGTTACGATTACTTATCCTTCTACCATATCCAGTATCAGCGCCACGTGTCAACAAAGTAATCTGGGTCATCATCTCCATCATCATAATCAGTATCGTCATTATCATCCTTGTCATCACCACCATCGCCATCATCGACATCGTCATTCTCGCAATTCTTATCAACATCGTCATGCGTCATCATCGTCGTCATCATCACCACTACCGCCAGCATCGGAATGATAATCACCATCATCATCGGCATCATCCACTCCATGTTCTCCCCTCCTGCTCAAACTTTGCCAATACATCCATCTACTTCTGCTCCAGCTCACTCACGATCTTCCTGCTCCAACTCCTCTTCTGGTCCCTTGTCCTCCTCTCCATCCCAGTAACTCCTCCTCTGGTCCCTCTCCCTCCTCTCCACCCCAGTCGTCATGTTCGCCCTCTTCTCGACCTCCTCGTTCCCGTGGCCCGTCAGGACACCACCACAGCGAGGTCAACGGTGAGGGTCGGAAGTTTGGGGTTAAGACCGAGGTGAAGCGTGAGATCGTTCCGTGCGTGATGCACGTACGGGCAAGGCGAGGCGGAACTCCGCGAGCTCGCCCACTGGCTCGGGCCGAGACGAACAAAAAAGGTGCCCCGGGGCCGGCCGTGGGGAGACACACTGTCCCAAGCGGCTGTCCTTTCCAATGGTTGCCCCACTGGTTGTCCCGATGGTTCTTCCGGTTGTCGCGAGGGTTGTTCTGGTGGTTTTCCTGATGGCTGTCCTTCCCAATGGTTGCCCCCAATGGCTGTCCCGACGGTTGTCCTGATGGTCGTCCCGATGGTTGGCACGGTGGTTGTCCCGATGTTTGTCCCGATGGTTGTCAAACATGTTCTCTGCGAGGCTAATATGGGACTAACATGCGCGCGGCGAGGCTATAGCACCCCAAATCCCTCTCTCAAACCGTACTAAATATCAACAAATACGCTCGGTGAGGGGATACCAAATAATAACACCACCAAAAATAATGTGTCCTTCAGGCAAAAAGAAAGGGCATGCAACGAGCCAAGCTATTCAAAGAGGCCCTACGGGGCAAACAATAAAAAACAAATGGAATCCGATACCAAAATGTGACAATGATGGCAACAAAACCATATAAACAAACAGACATATCCGCAACCGTGCCTCTGGCATTAAGAAAGGCCCAAGATTGTCCCACGACAGTCCCAACAGCGCCAAAGAGCGCCCCAGAAACGCTCCGAGAGGGCCCCAAGAGGCGACTCTGGGGGGTTCGGATGGGGGACCCTACTTAAGGACGCCCCCTCTTTGATCAATATCCTCCAAGATGTCCCCAAGAAGGCCTCGAATGCTCCAAGAGGGCACGAAGAGGGCCCCTAGAGGGGTGCATTTATCAATCGCATGTTTCGGTCTCCGTGGAACAGTTCCAGGGGCGACAACTTAGAAAAAAAATATCTGGCGGCGAAGTAATGGCAATCGGGATCTGGTGGGGGGAGGGGGGGACATTTTTGTTAACAGATGTTGGGCACGATATGGACCCGACTATGACAACATTCCAGTCGGGTTCGATACATTTCTACTAGAAAGCTACTCGAATTGATTCCGACACTAAGGTTCGATGCAACTCTACTATAATCACTGGTGCAGCTGGACCTAACTTAGACTCCTACCAGAGCTGGATCCACCTCCAACTGAATCCTACGAATTCTTGGTCTGCATCTAACAGAATCCTGCTACAGCAAGATGAAACTCGAATTGAGTCCTGCTTGGGGCTCGATCCAGCTCTGATCGAATCGTACGATCGGGGAGGCGCAAGACTCGGGTTTGGGGGACTCGGGTTGGCCCGACGGGGCCATCATAAAAATGGCGAGGCCCAATCTGAAATTTGACGCGAGCTCCCGCTGCAGACATCCCATGAAAACTGCACCGTCAAAATCCAGGACGCGCTCGTCAGAAAACGTCGGCAAACCCGAGTTCCGGCTCACTCGGGTCCTGCGTTTCCCCGATACGAGGGCTCGATCCAGCCTTGGGAGGCATCCCACTAAGGCTCGATCGTCGTCGTCGTCGTCGTCATCGTCCTCGTCGCCGTCGCTGCCCGACGGCGCAGGCGCCTGCGCCGGCGCTCGTCGCCGTCCCTTGCCACTGGGGGCAGAAAGGGAGGGGGGCGGTTCGAACCCCCACCGTGCAATTCAAGGGCGAGACGCTGGTTCGACACGACCCTCCCCCCCCTCGATCCCCCTCTCGCCCGCCGTCACCCCCCCGCCCAGTGGCTCTAAGCCCCCCGGCTCAATTCCCCAACCCGCTGAAGGCGTCCACAAAACGCGTTCTATCGAACACATAGACACGTGAACTCAATGAACACTAGACAGATGTGCATATATAGTACAAATATGACTAGATAGATGGGTGAACTGACGAACCTAGGAATGCCCACATCCATGTTGATGTCCTGGCGTGTGTCTACTCGTGATTTGAATGGTGCGCCGAATGCGCATCCATGATGACAAAACATCCCCCAAAACAACATATCCTTATCACCCCAACTGTGGTCTTACAAGTATGTCCTGCGAATGCTGGTGTGGGGCCCCACCCTATCCGCGAGCAGCCACTGCGAGGTCAGCATCGTTATCTACTGCTCGTTATCCTCCTCCTCTTCCTCCTCCTCCTCGTCCTCCTCCTTTTCCTCTTCCACCTTTTCCTTCTCCTCCTCCTCCTCATACTCCTTCCTCTCCTCCTCCTTCTGCGCCTCCTCCTCCTCCTCCCCCTCCCCCTCCCGCCCGTATCCGCCAACTTCCTATTCCTCCCTCTCATCGTTAGTTTGCGAACACAATCACGCCAGCGTCCGCACTTGGATGGGCAACCAACGGCAGCAACATCTGCCTCGCCCCCTCGGCGACCGCAGGAATTCGTTTGGAATCCAGCGGGTTCCCAAGCACTGGGCCTTCCGTTCTCACGAGTGCATTCCGAGTGGCGGACACTGTGCTACAGAGCATAATCTGCCCAGACATGCGGTGTCTTGGCTGCCCCAATACGGAGTCACCAGAAGTCTGGACCCTTCCCCAGGGCGGACGTTCCTTCCCGAGCCATTTTGTTGACACTCCCGAGGCCCGGCGAAGGCCCCTGGATGCCGAAGTCTGCCAAGCCTGGCGCCCAGACGGCACTCTGGCAGATAAAAAGTTGCACGTGAAGCTTGCGGCAAAAAGGGACGGAGGAACAAGAAGAGAGTAGAGAAACGACAACACCAAAAACAATTCAAGCCAGCGTTCTGGCAGGAGCGCGTCGAAAGAAACAATCCGCTGTTGGTTGGGATAACCTCTCTTCCTCTGGCGTCCCCATAGCAAGAGAATTGTGTGCAAGCCTCACAAATAAGGACTTTGAGGACGCTGTGTGCAGGGAGTGCCGACATGTTCCCATACACGTGTTGCGTGTGTCGATCGCGAAGTGTTTCGTTCAGCGGCCGCGCGTGAGCACGTTCCGGCACTGCTTTGTAAAGACTTCCTGAACACATGCGCAATGAGAACTTGGGAAATGCTTACACTAAGAAACTGCCTAAGCATAGCCTTTCCGCTTGCGGTATCCAGACAGCTTCTAGGTTGAAAAGCATTTGGGGCAACATAATCCCTTTGCACAGCTGTTTTTTTTTTCTCTCAATCGCGGCATATATTTGCGTGCGACTAGCAAGGTGACGCAGGTATTAGAAAATAGACTTGGCTTCACGAGTTTGCTGGGTGGCTTCCAAATCTAAAAATCATATAACGTTCAAGGGTATTCCTGAGTACGCCGTCTGATCCACTATGTTCAGCGGGGCGCCAGTGAGATAAATCGCAACACCAGTGTTATGCACACGCATGCAGGCAGTTTTATTTCACTTCAAATATGATATATACAAATATACATAAACATATTATGTATCGCGCCTTCGTCGATGACTGCGTTGACAAAAGGCTCGATGCTTCAAAGAGCCAGTGCTGAGTAGCATTCTCGCCGGCGTATAACTAATCATTGCATGCCAAGCATTTAACTCTCGGGTATTCCAATGTAGACTCACCATCGTGTTGCCGACGTCGAAGACCAAACAACTTTGTACGATATAAACGATGGTGATAATGGTCACCCTTGTGCGATCCCTGCTGCTTGAGGTCGTTTACTGCAATGTATGACAAGGCTCCCGAACACCCATGGTTTCTGTGTTTGTACATCGCCGCTACCATGGTCGGCGTCTCGAGGAATGCGGAATCTTCGAAGCGCGTCCAAAAGTGTGTCGCGCTGGATACGGTTGAAGGCTTTGGACCAACCTATGGATACTGCAACCAACCCTGTCGATTGAAATGTCTTTGCCGCCTCAAACATCACCCGAACAATGTTTGTGAATCGTCTGACAAGCGCTTCTGCCAGGCGGAAACCAAATGGAGTTGAACAGATTCCGTGTCGGCCCCGCCATTTTGAATTCGTGTTTGCAGCGTCCGTGCCAAAACTGTATACAGAACGACAAAAATAGAAAATCGGCCGCTCACGGCCAAAAACCTCCCTGCATGAGCCATTTCACGACGCGAGCATGCCTGGGTGCAGCCCCGGCCACTCGTGCGGTGCATGAGGGCCCCATGGCCTTCGACGCACGGTGGCGTTCTCGCCCCGACCGTCGCGCCCTGAGTGGCGTCACCCGCACTATCCAGTGACGGCTGCGAGGAGTCTTGCGGACGTTCACGTCATGCGCGGCAGGGACAGATGAGCCCTCCCCAGATGACAGCGATGACGATGCCTCCGCGCACGCATTGCTCTTCGCGTGCAGGCCAGCGCGGGCCAGACGGCGCCACCCCGCCGTATCACACATCGATATCACTGCTCTGGGATGGCGTGCATCACACCTAGAGGAAGAAAAACTGCAGAAGCAGAACTTTCGGAGATCCACGCGGATGTCTTTGCTCGGTGCTGACCCCCCTGGCGGCGCCTGCGGCGCCGCCCCTGGCGCGCTCTGCGCGCCAGGCAGGGGGGCCAGGCGCCGACACAAGAAATCCGTGCGGAGCTCCCTTAGGAACGCGGAGAGGAACAACAAAACCACGCCATGGGAACCAACTGTCAGCTGGCGGTCGGCGCGGATGTCCGCCGTCCCCCACTCGTGCGCTCCCTGCCTCTCGCCCTCGCCCCCCCCCCCCGCCCTGCCTTCCAGGGCCCAAGAGCCACGAAGCCACGGCTGCTTCGCAGCCAAGACCCACAGAAGACTGGATCCATTACCCGGCGCCGGTTTTCCATCCCCCGTCGTTCTGGCAGGTCCTGACGCCTGGTGAGGGACCCCGAGGGGCGGAAAACTGATTTCGCTCAATACGTTCGCTACTCCACCCGAGACACATTTGTTATTCTCTGGCGCGTCACGCTCGTTCGGGCAGAACCAATCCCATCGGGCAGTTGTAACGATCGTACGTTTTAGGGGGACTCTGGGGTACGTTGGCGATCGCAGCCCACCCCCGCCCAAGCGTTACTGCTACCATCGGCCCTGGCCACCTCGCCCCGCCCCCCCCAGGGTAATGATCGCTACGGGGAGGTGAAAACAAAAACAGAAAGACTGGAGGCGGCTCGGGGGGTCTGAACTGGTTGAGACCCTACAAAATCGGTTACGGTGGACGATGCCAAATCCAACCAACGTCGCTCCCCAGACCCACTCGGGGCCCATCTGGTGCAGGTCTTCACCCAAAATCCGTTTGTGACGGTCCCGGGGCATGGAAAAGGCACCCGGGGGCCGAAAAGGGGCAACAAAAACCCTCCCGCACCCAGAAAACCCCCGAACCTCGCCCCCCCCGTGTTGCTTGCGCGAGCCGGTGCTGGGCCACCTCTGACACCCGATCCCGTCCGTCGGCCCCCACCGCTGCGCGGAAGTATCCGCTCTTCCAGCAGCCAAGAAAAACCACGTCGCGCCAGGAAGAGGAGGAGGAGGCGGAGGAGGAGGAGGAGGAGGCGGAGGACGATAAGGAGGAGGAGGAGGAGGAGGAGGAGGAGGAGGAGGAGGAGGAGGAGGAGGAGGAGGAGGGGGAGGAGGGTCCCCACACGGCCCCAGGGGGCGCCCGCGGGGCCTCCGGCGGCCCGGCCGCTTCGCCCGCCTCCTGCGGCGCGCGGGGAATGAAGCGAGGGGCGGGGCGAGGCTGCGGAGGAGGGAGGCGACGACGCGAGTGCGGTGGTAGCGACGCCTGAACTCTACAGCCCACCCACCCCCCACCGCAGCGCAGTGCGAAACAAGCGGCGGCAGGCGAAACTGACTCGGCGAAGGGCTTCCTTGAGCCAGCGCAAACACTGAATGCGACTGCCTGCTTGGATTCGGGTACGCCTCCGACTGTCATGGGATCGGAGTCCTCTCTTGCAGAAAGTGGTTCAGCTAATCTTGGCCGCGTTTGTGGGGCCAGGATCTAGAACCTACGAGAAGCCGACCATCGGCCCAACGATGGGGCCTACGAAACGCCTACAAAAAAAAACCTACGTTTGCCTAAAAGTGGGCCGACTGAAGGCACTAGGCTTGCCGAGGGTGGGGCCTCCTGAAGGCCCTCGGCTTGCCAAGGGTGGGGTCTACTGAACGCCCTAAGGTCGCCCTGGGTGTAGGGCCCAAGGGTGGCCCTAGGGGTAGGCCCTAAAGGTAGTTCGAAAAGGGTTAGGAGGCCCAACCAGATCCTTCGCCTAAAGCGAAGTCCATATTCAACTGTTCGACACCGTGGTAGCGACACCCCCAAGAGCAGGAGTGAATCGCAGGAGCGACGAGCCTTGTCAAGCGAATATGTTTTCGGTATCGATGGCGAATGTGTGCCTCGCGATGAGGCGCATACATATATTGGAGGCCGGGCCGGCCTTATGAGAACAAGCGGCCGCGGACAAACGTTCGCTACCTCTCGCCTTTGCCCAGCCTCCTGTCGACTCGGGGGGGAGGAGACGAAACGTGGGTCCGCCGCCAGCTGTACAACGCAACGCTATACGACGTAGGGCACGCAACAACAAGCGGGCTCAACAACGGAAGGTTGACCCGCATGCAAATTACCGTGCGGGCAAGTTACCTCGCAGGCAAGTTACCGCGCATGTAACTACTCCTCAGGCGGTTCAGATGACTCTGTCCGGCCACACCTGTAGGGACTTTGTCGTTTCAGGTCATGATTGAAGGATCGCGCTCTTCCCATGAGTTGTAGGAACATGTCTCTGTCGATGCCCCCCTTGGTGTGGCCATCCGCAGTCATATCGCGAGTGCCACTGCGCAAAGTGCGCGGTGCCTTGTTCCATCTTGTCTCGTATTCAACTGACGCGCCCCAAAAGCTCAGTCGGTTTCTTCAGGTCTTTGTTGGACAAGGTCTTGAAGACAGATTATGTATCGATGGTCGGGGTGACCGCAATGCTCAAGCAGCCCATCTCGAGCAGATTCTTCAATGGAGAGGGTGCCAGCGGCCCTGCGTGGAGTTCGTGCAGACTGACGACTGCCGGATAGCAGACTTCGAAAATTATGATGCAGTGTTTCCGCTGAGTAACTAGAGCGGACCTGCACGCGGTGAGATTTGCAGCGCGCGTCAACAAGATGCACGACGTGATTACCAGCATGCGTGTGTCAGCGCCGTAGCAGGTTTGTCCCGCGAGTGCCATGACCTTTGTCCTCGTCTTCGGCATCTCCGCTCAGACGCCGGTAGTCGAAACCGCTGTGCAGGTCGATCACGCCCGTTGGAGCCATCGCTTGACAGACAATTTTCTGAGGGCGGGCCTGCAACTGTTTGGTAATCGCGCTCAGTCGTCGCATATGCATGTTGGTCGTTCCTTGGACGCGCTGTAGCGATGCGACATATACCATGCACCGCGCTTGCGTGATAAAAGAGAGAGAGAGAGAGAGAGAGAGCGTGATCCACCGCCGCTCTACAGTGGAAACTTCCCCCCCCCTGTTCCTCCGGAGCCCGCCCCCCCCTCCAAAAATCCCCCCCCCCCTTCTGGGCCCCCCCCTTTTCCCCCGATAAACCCCCCTCCCTCCCCTGCCCCCCCCCTCCGGACAGGGGGCCACTACCGGTTCGACCCCCCCCCCCCCCACGCAGAAAACCAGAGGGGGGTCACCGCCGGTTCGAAACCCTCCCCCCCCTTTAGAAAACCGAGGGGGGTCACTACCACTTCGAACCCCCCGCGCCCCTCCCTGCAGAAAACCATGGGCGGGCCACTGCCAATTCGTGATCCCCCCCCCGAAAACCGCGGGGGGGTCACTATACCGGTTCGAACCCCCCCCTCTCCGGAAAACCGGGGGGGGCCACTACCGGTTCGACCCCCCCCCCCCCTCCACAAAACCGACGTGGGTCACTGCCGCTTCGAACCCCCCCCCCCACGTTCACCGCCCGCAAACGACTACGGGGCCCCTACCACCGCCCGCACCACATCCCCCACATCTGTCCCCAGCACCACTGCCCTCACCACCACTGTCCCCGCTGTTCCAACCACCGCCCCCACTGTCCCCACCAGTGCCCCCACCACTGTCGCACTGTCCCCACTGTCCCAACCACTGTTCCCACCACGGTTCCGAACTCCCCACTTTCTCCACGGCCCCAACCACTGCCCCACTGCCCCGACTGCCCCACTGTCCCCGCCGCTGTCCCACTGAGCTGCCCCACTGTTCCCACCACTGCCCCCATTGTCCCCACCACTGTCCCCGATGTGCCTCTGTCCCATTGCCCCACAGCCGCCCTCGCCACCGCCCTCGCCAATGCCCCCACCATCACTGCACCCACCACTGCCCCAGCGTTTCCACCACATTCCCAATGTCCCCACACCGCTGTCCCCACCACCAGCGCCCCCACCAATGTCCCTCTGTCCCCACTGTTCCCACCATTGTCCCCGCTGTCCCCACCAGTGCCCCCGCCAGTGTCTCACTGTCACCGTTCCCCCCACCGTTGTCCCACCACGGCCCCACTCCCCCCGCTTTCCCCACGGTCCCCACCACTGCCCCACTGTCCCACTATACCCAACACTGACCCACTGTCCCCGGTGCTGTCCCACTGTGCTGCCCCACCGCCCCCACTGCCCCCATCACTGCCCCACTGTCCCCACTGTCCCCAACACTTTCCCCACTGTACTACTGCCCCACCATTGTCCCCACCACCGCCTGCACCACTGCACTACCGACCCCACCACTGTCCCACTGCCCCCACCACTGCCCCGCTACCCCCTCACCACTACCCCCGCCACCACCGCCCCCACCACTGTCCGCGCCGCTGTCCTAGCGCCCCCGCGCCATTGTCCCCGCCACCACCGTTCCAACCACTGTCCCAGTACCCCCCACCATTCTTCAACTGCCCCGAGGAGCGGAAATCGTTTGCTCGCGGCGACGGGGGGGGGGGGGGGGCGGCATCGAGCCGGCAGCGACCCCCGAACCGGCAACGCCCCCCCCCCCCCCCCTGTTTTCGAAGGGGGGGGGGGTCTCGAACCGGCAGTGACCACCCCCCTTTTCATGATGAGCTGGGGGGGGGGGGGTTCTAACCGGCAGCGACCCCCCCCCCCCCGGTCGTCGCAGAGGGGGGGGGGGGGGCGAGTTGGAAACGCCCAAAGGCCCCTCCCGGTTTCCCGCCAGCAGCGGTAGAACGCGCTCTTTCCGTGCGAAGCGGCGCAAGCTAAATCGCATCTAAGGCTGGCGAACATGTCGGCAATCATCTTCGATGCCTTGGCCTCAGCGCTAGCGCCCGCGAGTACACCGCGCTGAATAAGGGGGGGGGGGGGGGGGGGGGGGGGGGGGGGGGGGGCAATATGATAGATTCGCCCATGGTCAATTGTAAGATGTCCGCCGCCGCCCTTCGCGCATCTCACAGCACAGCTGGTATGCGCGTGTGTGCATTAAGTTTACACTTGCCAAAAAGATCCTCCATGCACTTGACGCACATGTCGATAGTGCCCTGCGTACCGGCCATGAGAAGGTCGGAAATCGCCTCGAATTCCCCCTCGGAGGACGTGTGTTCAAGACCAGTTCTACTGAGCTTCAGTGAGAAAGCTCTCGGTGCATCCTTGGTGCCACTACCTGGTTGGAGGCGCTGAAAACAGCGTCTCGACCCATCGCGCTGCTCGTATCCGGGGGGGATCTGAGCGCAGATGCCGACCCAGGTGGCAATGCAAAGCGCGCCACGCGTTCCTTCCGGAAAACCATGTTGACATCAAGGGAAGCAATGATCCACCGCTTCACGCGCGCCGTTGCGCTGGCGAGCAGTCGCTGACTTGACCGGCGCGACGTCCCTGAGAACGTCTCCGCGCCGAAGGCTTCGGTGCCCATGAAGCCCCGAAGTACCGAGCGCGGCCCGACTGCGCGCGCCATCTCGCCCTTCTCGCCCTTGACAAACTTCCATTTTATACGTATCTCGAAGTGATGGCGTTTTACGCATTGAATATATCTTGTACGTTGAAGCACTCGCTGTCGAACCATGTCTTGAGTTCAGCACGAAGGGCCTTCGTTGCCTTGACTGGATTCGCCTGGAAACCACACTTCGCAAGGAGGTCGTCCTCCTTGACGGCTGCGGGTCGTTTTGCGGCGGCGGCCACATATACTCGCAGTATTGTGGTCACGCGGTCCAAGTCTAATATCCCGCTGTTGTTCGGATAAGACTAACTCTGACATGTCTGCCGCGACGCAGAGTTCTACGCGTTGCCCGTGCTCGTCAGAGTCCAATCCGCACCTGTCACCTTCGCCCGTGGAGCACAATGGGACATCATATGTCGGAATTGAGTCCATGTCCCGAGGGTTACCCCGCGTCGGCAGGTGCCGCCGCTATCCTTCAGCTACTGTGACCAGCGCGCTGTTGTCAGTGATCATCTGTGCGGGCGCTATATAGAGCTCCTCTATGGGAGTTGCCTCCAATCGTTCATTTTCGCCATGTAGTTCTACGCGCCACATTTCCATCATGTGCGCATCGAGGTCCGCCTCTGGTTCCTCATAAATGGTTGGAAATCGTCAATCTTCCTGCGGTGGTTCGGTTTCTTTCGCCTCCGTGGCGTCGATGCCTTACGTTGGCACGTCGGCCAGCTCTCCGAATTCCGTCTCGTCTCGCTCGAAGCCCGATTGAAGCTTGGTGGACTTCAGGCACTGGGTGATGCTCGAATGTGCGGATCCTTCTGTGTC